CCCCAAAACCCCAAAACCCCAAAACCCCAAAACCCCAAAACCCCAAAAATGCAATATCATATGGAATATTAAATATATTAACAAATGGGATCAGTTTGTCTCAAACCAAATGTAGAGATTAGGCCGTCAAGAAATAAGCTTTTACAAAAAATGAGTCTACAAAACTCTGAAATTAGTCTTGATCTGGAGGAAAGCCAAACAATTGATAATTTATACACCCCTATAAAGCTGATAGGGAGGGGTGCTTTTGGAGAAGTCGTATTAGTACATAACAAAGGAGTTAACAAATATTATGCCATGAAAATAATTAGAAAAACTCTTTTTAAGCGACCTAAGCATTATGAACACCTAGAGACAGAGAAAGAAATCTTGGAGAAGGTTCACCACCCTTTTATCATAAGAATGGAGAAGTGATTTCAATCTAAAGATAGGGTATTTTTCGTTCTTGAATTTGCACCAGGAGGTAGCTTAAGATTCCATTTCAACAACAAGCGAAAATCCTCACTCCCTGAGGTTCAGTTTTATGCTTCAGAGATCCTCCTCGCACTTGAATATCTTCATAATTCAGGATATATGTACAGAGACCTGAAGATGGAGAATATTTTGTTAGATAAACAAGGTCATATAAAGTTGGTAGATTTTGGCATCTCAAAAATCATCAAAGATCGTGAAGATAAACAAGACGAAAGGACTGATACCTTCTGAGGAACACCTGAGTATCTCGCTCCGGAAGTGAAATCAAAGCAGAACTATGATAAAAGTGTTGATTTCTGGAGTTAAGGTGTGTTGCTCTATTCAATGATTTATGGTCGACTTCCCGATACATCTCGAGAGTCAACCAAGGATTCTAAAAATAATAGTTTCTCTGAATCAATCAAACACACAAAGACTGAATACCAAAGCAAACTCTCAGAGGCCGACGATTTAATATGGAGGTTTCTAGAACCCAACCCTGAGTTAAGATTAGGTTCGAAATCGGGTGACATTGAGATAATCAAAGATCACCCATTTTTCACTTCAATAGACTGGGAGAAATGTATCTCTCAAGATCTAGAACCTCCATTCATCCCTGATCTAGAGCACGACCATGACACCAGCTACTTCGACAGGAAGTTAACGACCCTAACTCTTGACGAAGGTATTTGCCAAACAATGGTTATTGAATAAAAAATGGATAATTTAAGCTAATAACTCAACTTGGACAATAACTCTTGGGGTTTTGGGGTTTTGGGGTTTTGGGGTTTTGGGGTTTTGGGG